GCAGAGTTCGCAGGGGCCGTGAAGGCCATCGGGCCCAGCCCCCTGCTGGTGCAGGACACCACAGGACGCCATCCCACTCCGAGGGCTGCCCAGGTTCTATATATGTCATGTATAGAAATATAATACGTAATATAATGAAAAATGTCAGGGTTTTATAGAATATGTATCAAGGTTGGAGGGGATGGAAGAAACGCAAACAGGGAGGTTGGAAGAAAGGCTGTGCAGAAAATATGGATAGTGATATCACAACATTAACCGTTTTTTCCTTTTCTTATTTTTGCTGCCATAGACCAGCCTGAAAACAAGCCCCATCAATAGATTTGTGACATTCTCTTTGCTTAATACAGGTGGTCCCTTCACCTCCCAGGGGGTTGTGCACCTCACAAAGTTACCTGATTGGTGGCTACTGGCCGTTAATTGCACTTAGCAATGTCGCGTTGCATACACAGCCCGATGCCCTTGAACCCGTGTCTTTAACAGCAAACTGGCATAGAAAACCTGGGCAGCCACTTACCCAGTCAGCTCTTAAAACTGCTTTAAGTGTGCCAGGGAAAATCCCCCCTTGATGAATTTCAACATAGCTGCCCTGTCTCTAAAAACAGAGATTGGGACCAAATTAAAATGTGGCAGAATTTAAAACGTGGTGGAGATGCCCGCCCTTCATTGCAATGGTGGCTGAAGGAACAGATTGGGCTGGTGGAAGGATGCAGGAAATTGAAAGCTGCATTTTTCATCAGACTTTCCAGAAAGCATCTTTGTGGGCCTAAACACTGTTTGCTTCTGGGATACCGATGCAGCTTTTCTTGCTTTTCTGTAGACCTCTATTTTTCCTGCTCACTCAGTGAAAAACAGATATTACAAGCCACCAGTAACTCCCACATCATAAAGAAACTGACCCCTGGATCTTCTTACTGCCCGAGGAAGTGGGTGTGATGACATGATATGATTTGGTAATTAAACTGACAAAATCTCAGATATTAGTGTTGTGATGAGTTGACAGTCTCGGAAGGTTGATCACCTTATCAAACCCAGAGAAAATGTTTCATATAAAATGAAACAGAGCCAGGCCTCTCAACATGGGCTGAGCGCAGCCGCTCATTAGGGAAAACAGATGTTCTTGCCTTGCTTGGCGCAAGCAGGTAGAAAAGACTGTCGCTTGGTCAAGTCCGTGCGCTTTTGTCACTGCTACTGGAGCCAGAGATGGGGAAGAAATTGTCTTGGCAGGTCTGAAAACCTCTGGGAAAGACTCAAAAGAGAGATTTGGGCTGGAGCGTAATCGGAAAGACATGGATGTGCTTTGCTGAACCACCCGGAAACTTTCTCATGATTGAGTAATGCATTTGATTTTCTGGTCCGTGAGATGGGACCAACGGTCCAGGCATCTTTGATTCGAACCAAGTCTGGAGAGGGGTGTTCCTTGGGAGACTCTTTAGGCACTGGGCTCCAGTTTGCTTGTGCTTCTGAAAAGTGGTTTGACTGGAAAGACGACTAGGCATGACCTGGCAACTTGTTCCGTTTGGGGTTTGGGTTTGTTCACAAGGAGATTCACCTTCCCTAGGATGTACAGAAGCCGTAACACCTTGTTCGCCTACATTTCATGGATTCACACCTTTCATTCATTGTACTTTCATTGATGGAATCCGATGCTGAGGAAGCCATTCCTATGGCTTTGCCTGAATTTGAAGTTTTCCAAACGACACACCCACAAATATGCAAATCTGGAAAAGCTGGTCTGCTGGGAATCTCTACATTGGAGTCCTAATAAACTGAACTGATTACCTACCTACATTAAAAAAAAAAAAATTTCCGCGTTCGTTTGGCTTGGGTGCTGTTTTTTCTGGGTGCACTATTTCTTTTTCATTCCCCTCACTGCTTTGGACCTTCTTTGCTCATACATTTGAAACACTTTTGCTCAAACACTTGAACATTTTTCTGCCATTGTGAATCATCTGATTTTAGCTGATGACTTCACAATGCAGGGATGAGGAATCTGTTGGGAGGGGGAAGGGGGATCTGTTGGATTCCCAGGCTCAGCTGCCTGGACTCCAACCTGCTCGGACATGACCTTGAGTCCAGGCCCCAGGTGAGAGTGGCCAGCATCCGTGCAGTGCTTGGCAGGAATCGGGCCCCGTGTGAACACAGCACATCGCCGCAATCTTTGCACCATTGCGTGTCATGCAAGATATTTACTAAGAAATATCAGTAAACCTATTTGTGTATTACCAGGTAGATAGTCATAAAAGCAAGACGGGTTCTCCTCCAAGAAAGCAGCAGACCATGGATCTCTCCACCAGCACCAGGAAGCATCTGGCCTGCCAGTGGCAAAATCCAGGTGACTCTTCCCGGCTTCACATACCCAAAACAGCCAGATCTTTGCACAGCGTCTTCACACACAGAGGGAAACGCCTTCCCTGCCCATCAACCCACTCTGAGCAACACCCATTTCTTGGTCGAGGAATGTCAGCTGGACATCACAGCCATGGCTCCGTGGCTTCCACCCTGCCAGCACAGAGCCATGCAGCACCCTAGGCAACATACCAGCTCTCCCGCCCAGGACCTCCCACAACAACGCAACCAGCAGAAGACGGTGGAAAGGACCGCCCCACTTCACGAAAGGGCAAGCTGGTGTCAGATTGGGCACTGCCAATGTGTGGCTCCTTTTCGCCAGATCTGCCGGTACTCAATGTAGAAAACCTATACAGACCAGTGAGCATCAACTTAGACTGAGGTAGATTCAGCGGTGTCTCCCTCCCTAGGTGCCGCCCGCCCCCTGAGATCTGGGGCAGAGGTCCTTCTCCGGGAGCCCTCCTTGAAGGGGATTAGGGGGGCGGCTACCTGGAGGAGGGCCTTCTCTGCAGTGGCTCCCCAGTTATGGAATGCACTCCCAGAGAGATTCACCTGGCACTGACACTGTATTCTTTTCAGCGCCAGGCCAAAACCTTTCCCAACATTTAAAGGTTTAAATTGGATTTTAATTGGGATTTTATAGAAGAGGATGCTGCGTTTTACGTTCTTCTATTATAAGATCATCCTAAGACTCTTGGTAAGAGAATGGCATCAAAAAGCGATACATAAATATAACCACTGTGCGTCTGTTAGATTTTCCGCTCTGTGTGCATTTGTAGCTTTTTGTTCATTTGTTTTGCCTGATGGTTGTACTTTTGGTGGTGGAGGTTTCTGTGAGTTTTGCAGGATTCCTGTGCTTTTAGCATCTGCCCTGATAGTTCCTCCAGGTTGTAAGGTGAGTGATCTGCAAATTGGGCTCCATCAGGCAAGGTTCAGGCGTGTTCAGACATGGGTCCAAAGCAACACATTGGCTCAGTGGACGTGCTCATGACCGGCCCACATTCTGATCATCCAAAGCACCTGCCTGGCAGGAACTCAAGATGGAAGAGTGAATCGTGCAGCGAAGGTGGCGCAGGGCGCGCTCGGCCTCCAGCTAAGTCAGATTGTGGTCTACCTAGCTCAGGATCGTTCTCCGGGCTCTCCGGAATTGCAGGCGGGATCTCACTGTGCTGCCTAGAGACTGAAGAGGCCAGACCATCCGCAGGCTCGAGGATTCTCAGCCTCAAACCAGTGGAGGTTCTGCCAGAGAAAGGGGCCCTGGGAGGCCACGTGGGGCTGCAGTTAGAGGTGTTCAGCACCAGAGGGCGCTGGCGAATAAGGCCCACCAGGCCTATACAGGGAGGCCTGCCTTGCCCAAATAAGGTAAGAAAGAAAATTCACCCCCAAGGCGGGAGGCTGAACAAATGAGGAGAACCAGCGCTTTTCACCTCACATGTAGCACTGGAGGAAGGGGCCGTGTGGCTGAATTCGCTGCCTTAGGGCAGAGGAGCGGCACGTCCCTCCACCTCTGTTTTTAATATATTCTGGAGCACACTTGTGGCAAGGCTTCTTCCCCAAGGGATGGATGCTGCCCATTTAAGGAGGATTTAATAATATGTGATTTATCCATGAACTCAACCTGCATTTGGCAGAGTTGCAGGGGGGCTGAAGCAGGACAAAAAAGCCTTCGGCACATTAAAAAAGAAAAAAAGAAAGAGAAACATTAAATATGACATAGCTCCAGGAAAACTTTCCATTTTGAACTCCCTTTGGGGAAATCTAAGCAGATCAAATGGTCCATGTTTGATGAGCTTCAGGCTGATGGAACTTGACTGCGGGACGCTCAAGGCACGGAAAGGGGGAAGCCAGCGGGTGCTTGTGCGGCCTCCCTGAGTTGGGGGAGGCCGGTTTCCCAGCCCTTGGAGATGTGGGTGAGGCTGAGGACGGGATGCTCCCCCATGGGCTGCACGAAGGAAGGAAGGGATTTGGGAAGCCCCCAGGAGCATCAGCGGCCGCAACTCCGGCCCTTCCCGTGAGCGCCAAAGGATGCTAATGGGCCCCGCGAGGTGCAGGCCGACTCCACAGGCGGAGGGCCACCCGTGACCTCTGCAGCCAGCGGCCGCCTCTGCCGTCACGCCCTCGCTTGGGGGATGCGTCCCCCGCAGAAATGCCGCCTCCCCACCCTCTCCGAAGTCAGGCGACGCAACCCACTGGAGGCCTGAACCGGAGGCGTGCCCAGAGGCCATCTTGCTGGCCTGGGGGGGGGGGGCTGGGCTAGCTTGCGCCGTGCCTCTTAGTGCTCCAGCGGGGAGAGGTCCGGCCAGCTGGGGACCCACTCGGAGCTCTGCATGCTCCTGGGCTCTTCCTGCCCCCTTGCGATCGCCCCAGCAGGAGCAGAGTCCCCTGAGAGCGCCAGGTGGGGCACCGGCGCATCTGCTATCCGACGTCAGACAGACCACAAGGGGGCGCTCGTTCCATGACGCTTGGCGCTCCTGGGCCCGGGCGCTCTGCAGCCGAGGCGAACGCTCCTGGAATCCCACCAAAATGACCCTTTGCCCCGGAACCCAACCTCTCCGTGGCCGCGTTTTAAGGGACGGAGACGACCACAGGAGAAAGCCGCCTGCCCTGTCACGCCGGCTTCTCCAGGCCGCGATGGCGGAGCAGCCGCCTCTTACCTCTGAGCTCGCCCAGGTCCAGCGTCTTCCCCAGCTGCTCGAGCAGGTCAGCCCTGGCGGCGTTCTTTTTGTGCTTCTTGCCGTCGTAGTGCTGCTGCGCCATCATCGGGTTGTTGAACCAAGCCGCGCAGAGCTGGCAGTACCTGTCGGAGTCTCTCCTCTGATGGGGCGCAGGCGGCACCGGAGAGCTGTCCGCGTGGGGTTGCTTTAGGGAGCTCAGGCTGGTCTCTGCAAAAGCAAGCGGGAGCTTCTGGGAACCTTCTGGGAACCTCAAAACCACCGTGGGCTAATCAGAATGAAGCTCCTGATTTCCTTCTCGCGCCCATTTCAGCTCTTTGAAGCAGGATGAATACTTTTGGCCAAACTTGCTCCAAATTTGGTGCACAAGACACTTAAGCAGACACTTAGCAGTGAGGTGAAACAGGAGCTCCATGATATTGTGAGACTGTGCAATTCAGGGACAGGGGATGCTTCTGGGGTGTGGCGAGGAACAACCCAGTGCAAGCCGGACAACAGAAGGGGGCAATGCAAAGGCCGCTAGGGTACCCGACTGCTCTGGCCTGGGATGAGCCCTCCTCCGTGCTGGGTGCCAACCAACTTGCCCACGTCACAACAACCTCCCGGGGGGAAAGGATGGGGAGGCAGCGCTCTTGTTCAGAGCTATGAAGGCCCCCGACTAAGAGTTAAGATAAAACATCTAACTTAGAGAAGCATGCATTGGTTAGCTTCAATTTCTATTAGTTTCTCATTTTTCCAAGCCAAACATCAGATTGTCTGGAACCTTGAGAATTTTTTCTACGGTTGCATGGAAAGTCATCCGTGTTATTCTGTGCACTTCTCCTATTTGGAAATGTGTGATAAATCCGTAAGGGGTATGGAAATCTAGACTCCGCTCCATGCACTTCTGTCTGTTAACCCTGCAATGGTGTTGCCTAAATCTGAAGTAAATCAAGCCAGGATGGCAACTTCCATTTTTAAAGCAGAACATGATTCATGTAATTCTTAAATAAATAATAATTTGCATAGCTTACACTAAAGATATGCAGTTCTCAGTACTACCTTTGCATATATTATTTTGAGCAGTTTCTTGGAATCCGAACTCCTCCTCCAGCTTGGTCAGATTTTGTCTCTTTGGTCAGAAATGTGTTCAAAGTCCATTGAGCTCAAATGAGTTTTCCAGTATTACATACATTTAATACAGGCAATTATATATGCAATTGGGCCTAACATTTAAGCTTGGTGCAAGTCATTTTCCCTTTTAGTTTTATTTTCACCAATATGCACATTGAATGCATCTTGTGTGCATTTTTTTACTGGGGAATTTCCTTGCAAAATCCGGACAAGCGCAAATATCAGCGGATAACTGAATTCCAGCAAGTATATTGGATGTTGGAAGGCTCACACAGAACTGCAAACTGAACACGTTTCTCCCCACTTCCCTAACTGAACATGCATCCAATTCCTCTTCTTGGGACACTTTTCTTGGGAGAAGAGTCCAAAAAGTACAAATTGAATCCGAACCATTCAACACTTCACCCGAACCTGAACGACATCCCATCTGGCAGGCATGTCAAGAGGGAGGGAGGGACCAACTTAGCAAGCCTTGGCATGAGAAAAGCAGACAAGAACAATCCTGTGCATATTTAAAATTCCCTTGGCAATTTCACTCGCTTGTTTTAGCTTGTATTGTTTATATTCGTCTTTTCTGCTTTACAGTTTCTTTTATGTATTTGTACATGTTAAGAAAATAAACTCTAATAGAAAGGAGCAATCCTGTGTACATTTGGCCAGACTTGAGTGTCCACATGAGTACTTCCAGCTAGTGATGCGGAGGAATTGAGTTTGGGGCCGGGAATGCGGCAGATCCCCAGAGCTTAGCTCCCCTGACTCTGGCCCATCTGCCACGGTATTTGCAGCTCGCTCATCCGGGATCCAGCACCCCACGCCGCACAAGCGACACCCCCTTCCATCCCACCTGCAAGAAGTTTTGTGTTGCTGCAGAAGATTGCGGCTGTGCGAGCCTCGTTCCAAGAACATTTGTGGACGTCTTGGTGCCGCTCGCTTTGCAAGACCAGGCCAAGGGAGGAGAAGAACTCCAACGCTAGAGGGGCAGATTCTGCCGATGGATTTTGTTCCGAGCCAACTCCCATCCCTTTGTGAGGGATGCTGGGAGGTGCAGTCCTTCGATCTGGCTAAACTTGCGTCGGAGGGTGCCTGAACGCGTTCAACATGCGTCGTCTGACATCAAGCATCTCCGCATGGAGAAGGGATCTCTCCTTCCCCTGGAGCAGAGCTGGACAACTTGTGTCTCTCCACAGGTTTTGCCCTGTAACTCCCAGGACTCCTTGCAATCGCCCGAGATGGACAAAAGCTGCAGACCAACTATCTTCAGGGCTGCAAGGAACCTATCTCCTGCTCTAGAATTATTTGTAAACATGCGCATTTTCTTCTTCCAAACAGGGGAAGCAATCTCATTAGGTCCCTCGTGTTCGGACAGCAGGACCTCCCGCGCCACCTCCTGCTTAATTATCCCCATTCCTGCAGCCCCAGTGTGTGAAGCAATTGGGAAGAAGAATGATTCCGTGTCCTGGTGCGGCCCAAACACATTAGGCAAATGAGGTCTTGGTGGATCGAACAGTGAAATGATGAAAGGTTTCCTTTCCCTGCATTAGCTCCCCGCATCCAACTGTCCAACGCTGTCCTCAGTACTCCTATTAAGCGATAACCTTGGTCGCCTCTTTGCATAGCCGTGTTGCTAGGATAAGCTTGCAAAACAAACCCGGAGGAGAAGGAAACTGGAAATGCCAGCAAGAAAACCTCACCGGGCTGCTTGTTCTGGCTCATTCTACGGGGACACGCTGCGATGGGGTGGTGCAAGGACTGTGTGTGCCCCTCTTTCACACCCAGGGAAATGGCTTTGCACGCAGCGGCCGCTTGTGTGTTGCCAAATGAGGAGATGCCCCGCCAGCAAGGACACAAATTTGCGTGAGACTTGCATATGTTTTGCATATGCATGGATGCAAATTTGGAAATCATTGCTAGATTTGGACTGGAAATACAACACATCTCTCCATAGTGGGGAAGACTGTTGCTTGGCGAGAGCTTGCGCCGTGTGGTCAGAGGGCTGGACTGGGAAAGCCAGGCTCTGGTCTCCACTCAGCCATGAAGCTTGCTGGGCGACTTTAACCAGTCACTCACTCTCCGCCTGGCCTACCTCGCAGGGCTGTTGTGGTGAGGCTGAAATGGAGTTATGGACGCTGCCCCTGCTCTGTGCCCCATCAGCCCTCGGCTCGCCCCTTCCCACCCGGCTCCAGGCATCTCTCCTTCCACGCAGCCTGCAGGATAGAAGGCCATTTTGCGGCGGAGGAAAAGGACCAAGTGATACATATTCGCCAGTTTAAAGAAAATTAATGGCTCTGTTCCTCCTCCACAGTGCCTCAGATCATTTGTAGCGGCTCTGTGGAGGAATGCAGGAGAGCTTTAGTGGCCTGGCACCTCGTAAATAAAAAATTATAGTTGCACACCTGTAAAAACCTCCGGAATTCATCATCAGACAGCCTAGTGGACGTGTTCTTTGGCTGCGCCTTGAGCCATCAAACTACAGATTTTGTTCTCCTGGCCTGACCACTCTTTGTTTATCAGTTTACGGATGCCTTGAGGAGGACTCGGGGAGCGTGGCCTGGCCTAGCTGGCTGCAGCCTTGGAATTTAAAGCTGCAGGCCACGAAAGCCTTTTGATGGGACTGCAGGCCTTTCTGTGCTGGCTGCTCCGCACCTAGGCCAGGTTGGGAAGGTGTGCCCAAACACTGGTGCGCATGTGACGCACATGAAAGCATGCACAGAGGAGCCAACAGGAGAAAATCGCACACATTCAGAAATATGCACATAGAAATGCACGTTTGAAGAACAGGAAACTTTGCAATCTGAAATGGGTACAAGTTGGAAAGAGCTTGGAAGTGGAATCGGAAGAACTTGGATGAATTAAGGTTTGGCTGATTCACTGATCCTCAGATGGGAGAACCCAGGAGGTTCAAGCTCAGGGAAAACCTTCCAACTTTGCTCCAATATTTCTTCCTAATTGGACCCTGAGAGTTGCTTTGCCAATCTGGGAAAGTTGAATATATGATACTTCATAATCCTCTATTAAATCCTTGGCCCATGGGGCCTTATATTGTCAACTCTGGCTGGCAGCCGCCCTCCAAAGTCTCAGGCCAAAGGCCAGGAGAACAGAAGATAGCATGATAAAGGACGACCGCTTCGCGTCCTTCCTGGCGGTGCGCCAGGTGCCCTCCAGCTCTGGGCACAGTGGGCAACCTTCTCCCACGCCACATGTGGCGAGCAGAGAAGACAGCAGTTGTGCGGGCAACCTTCCTGGAGAGCGCTGCAGGAGCGTGTGGCTTTTTACGGTTAAGCAAACAATCCAATAAATGACACTCTGCTGACACTTGACTTCTCAGCTGCGAGTGTTAATAGGCTCTGCCATGCCGGAGTCGCCACGGAGAGCGCGGCAGCACAGACCGAGCGCGGGAGGCCGGCCGACCAAAGACGCCCTTCTCTCACTCCGCTCCCACCGCTGCCGCCCAGTTGAGAGCAAGGTGAAATTCTCCTCTGCGCGAGCGCCAGGAGGAGAAAGGCCCGTATTCGCTGCGCTGTCAGCAAAAGGCAGCTCCAGAAATCAGCCGCACGTGGCCGCGGGGTGCCTGCATCCGACACGGAAGCTCACTCGGGAATGCCTGAACGGGGTCGCCCGCAGAGTGGCAGAGCCCAGACGGGGCCTGAAGGGGCTCATCCAGGCAGCCTCTCACCGTCTGGTACCCACCTGGGGTGGGACTCCGATCATAGTCAGGCATGTTCGCTGAGATGATGATGACGATTAGTATTTTTATTAAAACATTATTAATCACCATTACTATTAATTATATAGCATAATATATATTAATTGTACTGATTATATTATATACAATATCACATATAAAATAAAATCTAGTATTATATATTACACAGTACTGTTATTTATTAAATATTAATTATTACATATACCATTATATATATTTATAATAATATACTGGTGATAATTTATATATAAAGTACAATATTTGTAATATTCTCTCTCTCTCTCTCTCTCTCTCTCTCTCTCTCTCTCTCTCTCTATATATATATATATATATATATATATATATATAGTAGTAAAAATGATAGTTCCATTTCTATACTGCCTTATAGCCAAATTCTCTGGGAGCTTCACAGAACTGGATTTGTTGAGAATAATGGGATTTGTCGCACAAGGCGCCTGGCTGAGGAAGGGAGATTTGCACGAATGGAGGAGACGGCCTTCCCTTGCTTGCTTGCTCGCTTGCTTGCTTGCTCGCTTATTTCAGGGCTGCCGTCTGAACCGAAGGAGGAAGCAGCGGCTTTGGCTCCGCCTCCTTCCTCCGCTGCCCACGGTCCCCCCGGCGGGCCAGGGGTGCAGGCGGCACACGCTCCGAACGGGGGTGCGGAGCGTGTGCCTCCGAAAGGAGGGCGCGCCCCCCCCCGTGGGGCCCCCTCCCCCTCCCCCTCCCGTGGACCTACCTGTGGGCTTTACAGCGGGCTGCTCTCCTAGCAGCAGCTTTAATCGCTTGGCGTGGATCTTCCCCTGGTAGTGAGACTCCGCCACCACCGCCGAAGTGAAGGACATGTTGCAGAGGGTGCAGCACTTGTTCTTGTCCACCGGGTCGTCGTCGCTGCCCTGCGGGCGAGACGGGAAGCGGCAGCGCGGGGTCAGCCGCGAGCCGGGCCGGGGCGGGACGCTGGGTTCTGGGCATCCCTTTGGGAGCCACCAGCCGTCCCGCGCGGCACCGGATGCAGGAACGCTGGCAGAGGGCCGCATCCTGGGGTGGCTTCCCACCCTGCTTTCCACTTTCGGAGAGAATCCGGACTCACGCCAAGGCGTCCACGCACATTAGCGAGACGGTGCGATGTGCTGGTTACAGCGCTGGGCTGGGACCTGGGAGAGCAGGGTTCTCGTCCCCCCTCAGCTGGGGGACTTTGGGCCAGCCACGGAATCTCAGCCCAACCTACTCCACAGGGCTGTTGTTGTGTGGAGAGCTCGTAAATGCAATGCAGCGTGATGATGATGATGATGATGATGATGATGATCTGCAAAAGTTGCATCCCTCAGATGTGCAAATCCCTGCCAAATATACACAGCCCCCAGGGTGCATTTATTTCGCTTCCCCCCCATCTTTTTCTATGAGTAAATCTGGGTAAATGTTTGGAAAAATTAAAAGCGGCCTGCAAGTTTGCATGAATGAGGAAGTGCCCATCTGGTCCTCGACTCGGTGGGTCAAATTCTTCAAAACTCAAACTCGTTTGTGCCCATTGTGGGGTTCCTTGCTATCCTTAAAGAAAGACAGACGGGAAGCTTACACATACGGCTCTGAGGGCATTTAAATCCAGGGGAAATGGGGGGCTCTCCTGCTCCCCATAAGCCACAGCTGGGGCAACGTACTGATCTGCACCATTTCCACTCTTGCAAGCTCCTCCTTTCATGCCCACTGAAGCTCTTTCAGGCAACCCCGCAGCTGGGTCCCTCCCTTCTACCTGCCCGCCACAGATGCTAATTTCCGGGCTAAATGAATGGACATTCCACTTCTAATCATTTGCTGCTTGCACACTCCACTTTCTTTAACCTAAATTTCTCTTCCACCCCGACTGTGCTACTTCCTCTGATGTATTGATGGCAAAGTAAATCACACCCATCCCTCTTCCTCGGCCTCTCCCTCCCTCCCTCCCGCTAGCTAAGTAGGACACACTCTTTTAATCTCGAGTACTCATCAGATTGGAATCTCGTCTCTTCTGCCTTCGGAGGAGTGTCTGCACATCCACGGAGAAATTTTAGCATCAAGCAGCCCGCTTCCCACGCTGCCGAAAGTTGTGGCAAAGGCAGCGCTCGGGAGCCACTGTGAATTTCCTGGCCGTTTTCCCAGCATACTTTACCAGAAGGTAATTGGGGCTAATGCAGGATGCAGAAACAACTGCGACCAGCCCTGTCATCTTTTGCACGCCAGCGCTGATGAACAACCTAATTTGGGTGCTTCAAAGGAAGCCGTCAGCCGAGCCGATGGTTCACTCAAGGCTCGAGCGTGGCAGAACTGGAGCCGGACTCGAGCCGCTGAGGAGCGAGCGGGGGAGGGACCCCACATTTGCAGAAATACAGTAAAAACAAGGCCTGGGCATGCTGCATATTCTTATACTTATATCCTCGCTTTTTCCTTCAAGGAACGCAAACACAATTGTCCTCCTGCTCTTGATGTTGCCCTCACAGCAACCCTGTGAGGTAGGTCAGGCTGGCCCAAAGTCTTGCAGTGGGCTTCATGGCTCAGCGGGGACTGGAACCCAGATCTACCAAGTCTTAGTCTAGTGCTGTAACCACTAGACCACACTGACCCTTACTGACAGTCAGCCAGAAGAATGAACTCCGGGAACTGCATGTCCACAGCCTCACAGTCTTCCTGACCATGAGAACCAAGGTGCCCTGCCTCAGCCACAGGTGCCTACCTGCACCTTACCTCCAGGAGCCCAACTATCAAGTGCCAACTACAGATTCCTTAAAAGGTGTGGCTAGAAGCAACACTGAAGTCTGAAAAACTCGAAAGCAGGTCTAGAGGCCTCCAGTCCAGACCCAGACCACGTCCACAGTCATACGGGGGAGGAGGGAAGGGCTAGGTCTCTTCTCCCCATACTTGTAAGTCCAATCTAGGAGGGACACCCTTTATTTTAATTCAAAGAAAAGCCCTGATGTCATTTTGAGCAGTCCCTTTGAACTAATGTGTCTGGAGGACCCCTGGAAGTGCGGCTGCTTTGCACCAGGAAGGCTCCTCTAGCTCTTACACTTCATTTGAGCAGCTCTCGCTTTTTTGCATCTGTAAAAAGAATCATCACTTTCTGTTCTACACACTGAAAAATGTGAAAATTATGCGTTTGCTAATACCACAAGCTAGAGCCCAAAATAGTTTTCTTCTGCAAAATCAATGAAAGGACACGTTTCGGCCAGAAGTGTTACTGCACCCTTGTGAAAAAGGTGCAGTGAACGGAGGGGCGGGGAGCCAGCTGGGAGCCTGGCGTGGAGGGAGTCATAACGAGACAGCTTGCTGAACACATGAACCCTTGCCTGGAACGAGAGAGAAGCAGAGCAGAAAAGCACAACTCGGCCTTGCCGAAGTTCTGATTCCGTCTCAAAGCTCGTTGCAACTTAAGCCCTTGATCAGATGGCAAGCTTTGCTTTGCTTCTTTTCGCATGAAAACCTGTGCGTACTTCCTTGCATTTTTCCACAGGTGCACATGGATTGCAGGTACTGTACACCGTCTCCTATGATTAAAGCACATCCGTGCACTTTTTAAAATGCATGCACTTCCCTCCCCTCCCCGCTCCTTTTTGGCATCCATGAATCATGCTGTGCTTCCGGACTCAGCAAGCCACGTGTTGCCACAGCCCCTTCCGCTGCGTGGGCACTCCTGGTGTTGCTATTTAAATCATAGCCACTGTTTTTCCAAATTTGCATTTATGCCTCCAAAAGAGCGTTGCAAGAGTCACTCCGAGACCTTACCAAATCACGGTTCACAGTGGTCCGAGCTATTGCTGTCCAGCAAAAGCTTTTGCTATCCTGGCACACAAGTGTGAACTGAGGGACATGTGAGAAATGCTTCCTATGATGTGTTTTAATTACTGATAACCAGGGAACGCACGTTAAGAAGTCCTTTTTTCAACCCGCAAACATGAGGACTAGAAACTTTTTTTCGAAAAACAAAAGCGAGCCAGTGTGCTGTAGTGATGAAGAGTCCTGGACTGGGCCTCTGTAGATGCAGGTTCTAGTCCCCACCTAGCCATGACATATACCGGGGGACTTCTGACCAGTCACACGCTCTGGGCCTACCCTACCTCACAGGGCTGTTGCTGGGAGGATAAAACGGAGAGGAAGAGAGCCTTCTAAACCGCCTGAGGCTCCCTGCAAGAGGAAGAGAGGTGGGTGAAAACGAGCCGATGCTTGCCTGCCCCCCGATGTTCTCATACGGAGTGCACTGGGGCGGCTCTGGGCAGCTCGCTGCTGCTTAGGCATGAGACTGCCCAAACGGTATTTCACGGCCCTCCCGAGACGCACGTCCACCCCTCAGCCTGATCAGGCCCCATGCCGGCCGGGCTCCGTGTCTGCGGACCGTGCACACGAGCTCCCCGAGGCGCCACGGGCGGTGGCGGCGGGGCCTCAGCAGGCCCCGGACGCGGCAGGGAGAGGCCGGCAGCCTCAGAGCTATTCTTAGCCGCGGAGCTGCCACTGGGTCTAATTAGCTTGCCTAGCAGAATTATTTCCTGCTATCAGTTTAGTGGGAGGATTTATTAATAACAGTTGCTAAAAGCCCCCCAGTGTGTGATAGCCCCTTTTTATTTCCTTATTTTCATTACTGTTTAAGTGCCAGCAACCCTATCATGCATTCTTTGCCTTCAAAACACTTCCTGCGCTTGACAACTTCATGGTTGCACAGAAGACTTCCGTGGCAATCGCGCTTTGTGAAACGCAACGACGCCCCCCCCCCCCCCCCCGCCGTCCTGGCGCAGCTCTGTCTGAGCATAACAGGCACGCATTCTAGTTAATAAATGTACGGCCACCTCTGAGTAAATGCAGCTCCTCTAAAGGCCTCGGGCTGCAGTTCCAGGTGCTGACTGGAATCTCCCCTCAATGCCTTCCAGGAAGGGATCGAGCATCTTGATCTGCTCAGTCCCCCGCAGGTCACATGTGGGGCTTCAGTGGAATTGCATAAGCCCAGGCAACTACAGTTCGGGAAACTGCGGAGGATGGAAGCCCAGCGGTGACGTCACTGCAGCCGGGAAGGACGCGTTTCTGATGCCGCCAAAGACGTGGCCCCGCTTGGGACGGGGAGACGTTTGCTCAGCCCCCACTTCTGCATGGCTCCAAACGCCGTCGCCCTTTGAAACCGACACGCCAATCAGAAGCAGAGTTCTCCGATCCAAAAAGGCGCATGAAGACACACATATTAGAGGAACTAATGCCAAGAGGCATTTAGATTGGGAAGGCTGCTTTAAAAAGGTGCGTGAGGTAAGTGTGATTATGAACGTACAAGTGTCAGGGGAAATGTGTACTGACTGCCCCTTATAAATGTTAATGCAGCTTTTCAAACATCACAAAGGTTGGAACAAGCCAAACTTAAAATTGGAAAGATGGGAAATGGAGAGAAACCAGCATTAACAGATCCGTCCAACCATAGTTTGACCTACAAGATGAATAGTAAACCTCCCAGATTTGTCACTCAGATTTTAATATGGAAGAATTACCCTGCGATGGCCTTTAAGGGGACAGTCACCCACAGCCACCCCGTGATGCCCTGAAGCATTATTAGCCATCAAACATTTTGATAGCGAGAAGGGAAGGCAGGAAAATCCCTTTTGTTTTGTTTCTCTCCCTGCCGCTGCATCCACAGCATGGCTTCACAGCCTCTGTACAGCCACAGGTGCCTGATCCTGCCTCATCCTGGAAGCTAAGCAGGGTCAGGCCTGGTCAGAACCTGGATGGGAGACTTGAGTCCTGCACTGAGCAGGGGGTTGGACCTGAAGGCCTCTTAGGCCTCTTCCAACTGTATGATTTCTATGAAATAATCGATAAAGGCATGCAGCTGGAATGTTGATCCTCACAGAAAATGTTTCATGATTCAACGAATATTGTGCTATAAAATTGG